GAGGAGGAGGAGGAGGAGGATGACGAAACGGAAACTCAGACAAGAGACAACAGGAATCCTGCCACAGAACTGGACTCGGGGAGAGTAGAGGATGGAGAAAACGGAGATGAAGACGAGGGTGGTGATGCAGATGGGTGTGACATAAGCCATTCATTGCAATTGAACAAGAAACCTCCGAAGAGTTATTCTTGCTCGGTCTGTGGGAAGGTTTATACATACCTAGTTTCATTCAGAAAACACCAACGGCTGCATGACAACAAGCCAGCTATGGCAAAAAGTGACCAAAATGTCTCAAATTTGCATAAATACGAGTGTCCAGACTGCGGGATGTTATTTATCCGGCGAGCGCGGTTACTCGGTCACCTGAGAGTTCACAGGTCACATGAATCATCCAGTTCAAAACCTCCCAGATGTGATCAGTGTAATAAAAACTTCACTTCCGAAGACTCGTGGATGGCTCATGTTGATCTCCACAAACAGAAACCGTTTTGGTGTTTAAGTTGCGCCAAAGGCTTTTCAGACGAGGCGTCGCTAGATAAACACCTGCAGAATCACAGTCTGAAGAAACATACGTGCAATATTTGTCACAAGAGCTTCCACGTGACCGCGCAGCTTAAGCATCACTACAACACCCACACTGGAGCGAAGCCTTACCAGTGCACAGTTTGTGGGAAGAACTTTTCTTTTCCCGGAAATCTAATTTCACACCGAAAAAAGCATCATGCTGGATCCAACGGGATGCCTGTAGGCCTCAAGAATTCTGCCATTATTGGAAAGAAGAGACTTATTAAAAAGAAGAGACTTATTCTCACCAGTGTGAAAGAGGAGCCAGAAATGGATATAAACATTGAAGAGCTGCCAGCAAAGAAAGAACGTGGGGAGGAAAGTGACACTCAAAAGCCATGTGAGGATGCTGAGTTCGGGGATTATGCAAACTCCGAAGAGTCGGATTGTGGAGAGCCTGTGCATTACTTCAATTACTTCAAGCCTTCAAAACCACCTGGCCCGGCTGGATCGGATCCACCCCATGAACTGAAATCAGAAATTATGCCGCCACAAGCAGGACAGGGGCCGGATGAGAGCGAGTCACAGGAAACAAACATGCACAGAGTGCATAAGTATTGGGAATGGGAGTGTTGTGAATGCGATATGGGCTTTGATGAAGTGGCAAAGCTGCATTTGCATTATATAAAACATGCTACTGGGGAGCTGCCTATACCACAGGATGATATTGAGGGTTGAAGGCATTCAACCCGCAATACTGGTGCCTTTCTTTTATTACTGTTAAAGAGGTTTACAAAACGTTAATGATTGTTGATGAATTTGTATCTAGTGTGTGTAAACTTACTGTTACTGTGTTACACTACTTAAAGACAAATATCCCCTGAGATTGATATGAGTATCTACAATAGAGTAATGTCTGATGCTATGAGATTCTACAGTTTATGATGTATTTGATGTATAAGCTATGCATTGTAAAATGTTGTGAACCAAGGGGAAAAACTGAGAAAATACAAAAGTTGTAAAGCATCCTACCTCTGCTTGTGAAACCAAATCAAATTAAATAAATTCAAAATGTTCTTTCTTCTTTTAGTTTCTACAAATGTTGTTACATATTCAAGCAGATGTTAAAACATTGAGATATGAACAGCCGTAGCATTAATGATGCAGCATAGTGTGTACATAGAGCTTTATTATCAGTTTATGGAGGTTTCTGAGGACTAATGGGATCTTACAGTGGGTGCATGCTGTGGAAAACATCCTACCTCACATGCTGCAGTAGCACCACCAACTGGCTGTTACTTATTACATGGTTACTTTTGCCAGGAGATACAGTACTTTTGGGATATGCATTATTCAACCTTATTCAGTTGTGTCTCAGTGAGGATTTTCCAGAATTTTTCTATACGGACATAGTTTGCTGAATGGTAGTAAAAAGCCTGTTGTTGCTCGTGTTAGATCAGTACATGTAAAGCTTTAGTAGACTAGTTTGTTCTCCTAAATAATAATAAAATAATTAAATTAAATTTGACTGATTTAACAAGTTTTTAACAACAGCTCTACATTTTGTAGAAATATAAGTATTTTATAGCAAATCTTTAAAACATGCGGAAAACTCAAAATGACCATAACTGTTGTAATATAATCGGTTTCTAGGGATTTCAGGATAGAGGGTGTCCTGTGCCATACCAATAGTAAAGTCCTTTGAGAAAAATGTGTAATTTGGGGCAACTTATTATTATTATTATTGTAATTTCTGCTGTATTTCTCTTTAAATATATTCTAAAATGAGCCTATAACTGTTATCAGGACTGCTGTAGTTGTAGTCTGGTTGGGTTGTAGTTTGGAGTGGACACCACTGGGATGAGTGGACCCCAGGAAAAAGGAAGCGACGCGGAGATGTTTGGGCGGACGGCTGAGCCCAGGTAAACTCAAATCTCCATCCTCCTGCTTTCACAACGTTACAGCTCCCCCGGTGTCTGTGTAGGAGTCGGGGGGACGTGGACAGTGAGTTCATATTTAGCTTCCATGGCGCAGCAACAAGCCGGAAATGCTAACATTTTCTTTAACCGAAAATCAGTGAATTGAAGCTAACCGGGCTACTGTTATCTGTGTATCTGTGGTTGTTGTGGAGGGGCTGTGAGAGGCAGTTATCAGCGTGTTACAGCACTGTGTTCATACAAATTAAAGTGTTGAATTTGGGTCACAGTACAGCCACAGTACAGCCTCCATGTCCGTCGGTCTTTTCTTTTGTAATACAAATGTTGTGAACCCATTCATTCTCTGGGCTCCCAGCTGTCGCCATGAAGATAACAAAGATGCTGCTCTCTGCTTTTTAAGAAAATGTGTAAAGACCGTTTTATAATGTAGTAAAGTACGTTTAAACGATACAAAAACATTCTTTTAGTTTGTATTTTCAGTAAGTGTTCAGTTATGTGTTGTATCTAACAGCCATTCTGTGTTTCTGTGTTTCTGTGTTGGACCTGATTTCATAGGAACATATAAACAAGTGCGTGTTGAGAAGCCGAGAGGCAGGGAGCCATGCAGAGTCCGACCCAGTCAAACATCGGGCCAAACCCTGTGACCACAGCAACCACAGAGAAACCACTGGACACCGAGACCGAAGCCCAGCCAGCACAAAGTGAACCGCATGCACAAGAAGAGGAGAATAAATCAGCTGCTCCTGCTGAGACTGAAACTCCAATCACACCACAGGAAAATGGGACACGGACGGAAACACCTGCAAGTATGGCGGTCACACAAGCGGTGGAGAATGAGCCTGCTGTTCAGCCACTGACTGAGCCCTCAGATAATACTGGAGGGGTGGAGGTGGACTCTGCTTCAAAGCCAAGTGCCCCCACAGAACCAGGACCTGATGTAAATACAAATCCTGGGTGTGGTGGGCAAAAGGCAAAGAAACAGGATAAAGGCGTACGTGATGGAAAGAAATATGTTCCTTCCAAGAAGGCGATGGTGGATCCTCTGAAGATGGACATGTCCAAACCCCTGGTTATACCTCTCACATGTGAGTGTTTTACCTTGAATGTATGTCTGTGTTACACCAAATCTTTAGACAGGCTAGGATTGAGAGACCTGTTTTAATGTTTGAATACTTATTGGATATACTACACACTCCCCACTATGGCAGTCCATACAGTAGACAGATACTACACTATAAGAAATCTGCTGTGATTGATTAATCTGATTTCTACAGTGGCATGTTGATTACTGTTGTTTTAGGCTAATTACACAGTACTCTACTGTAAAAAGAAATATATCCAGTAATTACTTGTACACGTAGATCATTGTGGAATTCATTTTTACAGTAAAGTAGGGTTTTGTTTTACCATACTGATACAGAATCAAATCTGGTTAAACCTGAACAGTTAGTAGTTTCTGATTCTCAGTATCAGCCACACAAAACACTGTAGGTTAGAGTTGGGCTAAGATACTGACCTATATTAGCTTATTTTAGAGACATTGGTATGCACATACATGTGCGTGTCAACCAGAGAGCAGTGCATAATGTCCTGCTGAGAACAGAATGTGGTCACAGTTCCTAAAATAAAACAAAGTGAAAAGATTCTCATAGAAAATGTTATTTGTGTGACACATTTATGAAAACAATAGCCTGATTTATCATTAACTTATATTGTTTTAACTCATATATTTACATTGGTATCTTACTCAGACGTCCAGTATCAGTCAGGTTACACTGCAGGTGTCATGCCCACTTTGACAGTGCCAATGCACATCAGACAATAATGACGCGTTTGTGACAGTAAATTAATGCAGTATTATCTTGCTGGTAAGGGGACATTGTAGAAGAGGTAGGGTCTCCTTTCACTAATTGTTTTGTGTGTTTACTGTATGAAAGTGCTCTTCTGTTTCTTAATCCGCCATATTTAACTTTCACATTTTTATTTTTATAATTTCTAAGAATACTTATCTCTATTCTAAGAATATGGAAGTATGTTGCATGTAAATGTTTTCGCCCTCCTGTCCTGTTTTCCTCTAGCGTCTCAGCTCTCCCTGCAGTGCATCGAGTGCCACATAATCTTCAGTGATCACAAGAGCAAAGAGCGTCATCTGAAGTTGAGCCACCCAGCAGAATATGAACAGTGCATACTGAGAAATGCTCTTTTCGCCTGTTACGTTTGCGACAGCCACTTCACAAACTCAACAGAGCTCATGGCACACCAGAGAGCCCACACTGAGAAGAAACCCTTCAAGTGTCCTATCTGCAGCCAGGCCTTCAACAAATCGTCAGAGCTCACCCATCATAAAAAAATCCATTTTGGCCTGGATGGTTATGCCTGCACTGACTGTGGCAAGCCTTGTAAAACCATGACATTGCTGAAGTATCACCACCGCACACACACTGGAGAGAGGCCGTATGTTTGCAAGGAGTGTGGAAAGAGGTTCACCATGTCCAAAGCTCTGCAGAAACATATGGTGTCACACTTTCCAGAGGGAACTGAAGGAGATGGGGGAGACACCGCACCCAAAGCACCTAAAGCACAACTGAAGAAAGATGATGGTAAGAAAATTTTTTTAATATATGTTATTAATGGAATTTCTGCTGAAAATTACGTAAGATAATGTAGAGCACGACTGCGGACAGAACGCAACTTAAAACCCAGTTTTGAATAGTGATTTTTAGCCTCCCTGCCTTTCTCTCCTGGGCTCTCTGTGTTGCTGTCTGTTCGCCTGATAGTGGAGTTGTGCTTCAAACACACACACACACACACACACACACACATTGCGGCCTTTCAAAATAGTGTCTTCAATAGCCTTAGCTAACTTTTAATTAGTACATTTAGTGTTTATTGTGGACTGTATTGTTTATCACATTGGAATCTGTCACAACAAATAGATCATTATTGGTTATCATTATTGGCCCTGACATTCTATATTGGTGCATAAAAATGATAAAATTCTAGAAAACAAACATGCTGCAAGAAAAATACCACAATATCAAAACTTTCTTCTTTTATTATTTTTAGGTGCTTCTCCAAGGTATCCTTGTTCTGTATGCAGGGCCACTTTCAAGAGTACCAAGACACGGCTATATCACATGAAAACTAAGCACAGTGTGTTACCTGCTACAGCCAGTAATGCCCTCCCAGCTGGGCAGCAAGTGAAACAAAGTACACCCATCATAACTCCAATATCTATTTGCCAACCGGCACTACTGCAGGTGGAACCCAATGGACCTCTGCAAAAGGTTGATGCCAATATTGACACAGAGCAGATTCGCAGACTTATTGAATCTTTGGGAAATGTGCAGAAAGTGAACCAAGTTGTCATACTGGGACAGGTGCCACCTCATGCCCCACCACTGGAGGTGCAACAGATACCACAAATGGCAGAACCAATGAATTTGAATCTCAGCCCACCACAAATAGATTTTATGGGACTAAAACAGACAGAATCTAAGACAGTTGAATTGGACCCTTCAAACAACTCATGTGATCCTATGGAACAGACAATTATACTGGAACCTATTACGCCAGATGGACAATTGGAAAACCCCTCTTTCTCAGAACTAGGTTCCCACATAGCAACAGGTGAAAATATAGAGCTAACACTTGTTCCGACGGAACAAAAGGAAAGTCCTGAGGGAGAGGTGATGCATCACATCCTTCAACAGCCATATATTAGTGCAATTCATTCTGATCCTATGGATCAAATAGTTTGTCAGAATGAGGAAGTTGAGCAAACAGTCATATTAGAACTTACCCCCGCTTTGATACCAACTATGGAGCTGGAACAATCCCAAGCTTTGCCACAAAATGATATCCCGTCCTCTTCTCTGGTACCAATAACTGAGCTGGAAAAGACTCCTAATCAGACTCAAAATCAGACTGTAATAGATGAGCAGCAGACCAGCCTGTCAGTCCCACCTCTTATGCATTCAGTTGAGTTGGAGCTAACACCTCTACAAGGAGAACAACAGAACCTTCCTCCTTTTGTTCCAGAAGACACACTTACACAAGATCCAAGTGAATCTGAAACTAATACCAAAGAAGAGGTTGATTCACAAATGCAAACAGTAAGTCTAGATAAGGTTCAGCCT